CTGGGACTGGAAGGAGATTCCACATACGAGCAACATTCATTACACACAGCACACACGTTACTCAGGATTACGTTACTGTGTTGTGGAATATTTCATTATTTAAACTTAAATTGCATAAACATATTATTTATGACTTGTTGCTGGGAATAAAAGAGAGAAAAAGGGAGAAAAAGACATCGTGCGCCTGATGGTAAGCGACACGTTTACGCTTAACAGTTGCATTGCAGTGCAACTCAAAGTTGAAACCGCAAAGATATGAGGGACCCTCTCACAGCGCCCTGTTTATATCAAATATTCGTATTTTAATACTTCTGTCGTTATTATTACGTAGCTTGTACTACCTTGGACTTTAACGTTATTAATTTACCGTATAGTTTTAAGTTCATCGTGTTAATGACATTTAATTATCTACGAGAATAAAGTATCTTTGAAAATTGGAAATGGTACTGTTTTACAATTATTTTTAAGCAAACCTATGTTTCGGGCCCTTCACAGGTTCCATGAACACGGCTGACTAAGACATCAACCAGTTGTGTCTAATATTAAATGCAAACCACCCAATATACTTACAATGCATAGTCATTTTTTAAATGGTAATCCAATTAGCTGAAATCATATTCACAGTGTTATCAAGGAGGCGCTATATAGTTTCTTCTTAACATATATTAAGGAGGAATAAAGTTACATGATTTGACACTCGATAATATTATCGAGTACCGTAGAGTTTATCATGAATTTCTCGGGAATGTAACTTTATGGGACAAATCTTGTTCATATGTTACTGCGGGTTATAAATCATTATCCAGCCAACGCTGAATACAAAATGTGTTTGAACCAAACAACATATTTGATCGAAGGAACTTCTAAGTGTTGTATTAATAATTATAACAAACTAATGGAGTAATTTCACCAAAAATAATTTAATATCATAATAGTAAAATATCGTGATATTCAATGAAACACTTAATTACAGTACTCTAGTCAGGGCTGGTAGCTAGCTGTAAAGGTGCCTAACTGGGTGATGAGATACTTTCATAGATTTTTCATTATGTCGTTAAAAACCAGATAGAAAGATCCGACAAGCAAGCACATAGAAAAATTCGTGAGGTCTGTGAGGAGGATTAAAAAAATATTTCGGTCATTTATCTATATAGGCCTATATATATATTAACGATGTAGGCCTCTTCCATATCTCTCCATTTACGTCGCTCCCGTGCCACATGCATCTCGCGGTCCGCGAAAATTTTAACGTCATTCACCCAACAAAGTGGCGAACAACCTCTGCCGCACGTGTTGGCCCATGGTCGCCACTACGTGATCCGCCTTGTCCACCGATTTGGATTCATCCTAGCTATGTGTCCTGCCCATTTCCATTTCATCGTCTCAATTTTGTGTACAACTTTTGATTAGATTAGTAACAGAACACTTAAAATAGGGTGGGTGGGTGAGTGTTACAAATAATTATTCTTTTTTTATACATTAATATGCATTCAGGTCCTGTGCTCATGAAAAGAACCCTGAATCCTGCAGGCAATGGCATTTCGAAGGCTGTAATCGCTGCCACTAATTCTGCGCATCAGGCCGCTGCCGCTCTTTTTCGCATAACAGCTTCAAAATCATCACTAATTGTTAGCGAACTCGTAGGGCGCTGAGAGCTTTTTGAGTGTCATTGACCTATAGGCTGCATGTATAAAATGACTGACAGTAGCTTTGAATAATCTAATTTTATTTATTTTTATTCTATTTTATTGGATGTATAAAACAGTTTACATTCAGTGGATCATGTTGAGGTACAATTTATAGTCTTAATCTAGAATGTCGATCTAATACTTGTATAAACAGCGTTATTATGCGAAGTGTAAACTTATTTGAATAAGGATTACAAAAAAAGAGGGAAAAGTGAGATTACAACTTAAAACTAACGCGACTAAAGAACATAGATATTAATTTGGCAATACTAATGCGAAGACTAGTTGAGGAGATTGGTACGAATTCGACAAAGATTGTTGTCGAAAACATCAATGTGACCTAAAGATTCTGATATTAATAAATGATTGTAGGTAATTTTAACGTTATCATTACAACTCGCCAACTTACGGGCCATGCCCTCCACTCTCTTTCTAAGTAGAAGTCTAAAATGTATTTTAAGGACTCGGAGAGCTATTGCCTTACTTACTTAATTTCAGTGACTCTTTGTAGAGCTTTGCCACATAGTGTACCATCGTGGACCGTATTATAAGCATTTACTATCCTACATTATTTAAAGTTATCACTTACATTATCATGTAACTGGTTTCCAGTTTGGCCTATCAAATACAATAATTGCAGCAACAATTTGAAGTATCTCATGAATAATGTTGCGATTAATTTAAAGTACTGTAATGCTAACATTACTGCTTGGCGGCAGAAATAGGTAAGGGGGCAGTACTATATAATAAATAAATAAATAAATAAACTTGATTAAAGTGTATTTTACCTCAATGAAATTTCATTAATAGGATACTTATTAAACAGATAGAACGTTTGACAGGTACATACGATTTAAAAATAGTAGTGTTCTATTTAGTTAGTTAGTTGTTCTATTCTATTATTTTACCATAAATAATTAGTATTTTTTTCCAAAACACCTTCCATGCACAGATTTGAACATACATTATAGTTTTATTATGTTTTTTATTTTTTATGAAATATAAGCGCGCATTTGACATTTTGAATGCGATGATGAGGTCAACGATGGAGCATGTACACCTATATTCATTTATTTCGCAAATCAACAGAATTACATACAATGCTTATACTAGAGGTTACATTCTGCATTGTTCTTATGTGTATTCCAGTTACAGATAAGCTCATTACTCAACCAATGGTGAGAAAGTTATAAAGACTACAATTATTTAAAATTTTTGAACATAATAATTGAAATACATTTATGAAAATTAAATCAAATTGAAATAAATAATAAAATTAAAAATGAAATATAATAACATTAACTGCAATAATATTTCATTGTTTCTTATTGCAAAACTGTAAACCAATCAATATATGTAGTTAGTTATAAAAAAATATAAATCCAAACAATCAATTAATTACTTTTCATGGGCATGAAATTCAAGGATTCGATTGGGATGAATTCATTACTTTACGACGAAAGTGGAAGGGTGTGTCATGACGGATATCCATGTCACTACTTTTTTTACACAGGACATTGCAATAGTTGCATATTCTAGTGATTGGTGAATTAGAATCTATATTTGTGCGACAAATTTGTGGAGCAAAAACTCTATGAATTGGCTGCCGTGGCAGCTGGTGAGCTGTCAAAATTTCGCTACAAATAACATAGCATAACGCACACACTCAACATAGCCCCGCACTAGAGAAAACCTGTGTCGCGAGTGCCATGGACACACACATAGACAACCACAAATTACACCCAAACTCACGAGAGAACTTTCTAACTTTCTCCTGGCCCGGGAATCGAATCTAATGGCAAGGACTTGTAGAAATATGTTTTTTTTTTATTTCCAGAGTTCTGGAATACGACCCTTAGACTTGCTTATATTCTGTTTCTTTTCAATTTATTACAGTACAATTCAATCCCAAGTATTGAAATTGAAGTGTTGAAATGAAAATTTGAAAAAAAGAAGTTTAGATTTGGGTGAGTTCTGAATTTACGTCACATACGTTTTCTTCTTTGTGTTATAATTTTATGTAGTTAACGAAATTATTTTAGTTCATCGACATATATAACGAAATAATTCAATAAAACAAAATTAGTGTCATCGTTGTCAATTTAATGTCAATAATAGTAATAACAAATTATACCAACGAATTAATATTATATAAATACTTAATATACATATGACGAATCGCGAGGTTTTAGATTATGCGGGTTGGGGACATCACACGTTTTCCGAGGGTTGTGAACCTTCTTCAACGTGCAGGTTCCATTACGATGTTTTCCTTCACCGGAAAGCTCATGATAAATTTCGCACATAAATTTCAAGAAAGTCAGAGATGTGAGCCCGGATTCGAACCCACGACCCTCTGCTTGAGAGGCAGCAGGACAAACCATTAGGCTACCACGGCTTTATCCGTATGAACAACTTTACCTACTGGATCTATTGTAAAAAATGTAATCACAGAAATTATTTCAGAATAGCAAATGCACGTATTCGTACTACCCATCCCAATAGGAAAAATTCCTACATCTTTGGGTGTAATGGAGTAGATAATTGCGTGAACTGTTGCTATTATTGAATTATCCTCCACAGCGCTCGCATATTGAATCAACGAACCTTGTTGAAATTAAAATCTCGACTAAAAAAAAAAACTAAGACTTTTGTGTTAAGAATATTTATTTAGCAGTTTCAAATTGTTTGAAGAAAGTTATTCACATTGTGGTCTATTATGACATAACAAAAAATGTTACTTGAATGAGGTCTTTAGTTGAGGGTCTCGGGAAGGGTGATGGCTGGGTTTACGGGGAAGACAGGGGTAGGAGGAATGATAACAGGTTCAACCACAACGGGGAAGATGGGAGTAGGGGGCACGATTACAGGTTCAGGGACAACGGGTCCGGGGAAGACAGGTTGAACGATAACAGGTTCAACCACAACAGGGAAGATGGGAGTAGGGGGCAAGACAACAGGCTCAGGCACTGGTCCAATGGGGAAGATGGGAGTAGGGGGGTTTACAACAGGCCCAACAGGGTCAACGACGGGAGATACTGGGGGCTGTACAGCTCCAGCAGGAGCGTTGATGTTTAGGATGACTTGCACGAGGGGAGAGCTTGCGGGGGTTGGGATCACGCCAGGTTGGACTATAGCGGGGCCAACAGTGATGGGTTCATAGACACCAGGCTCAACAATAGCGGGGCCGACCACGATGGGCTCATAGACATCAGGCTCGACAATAGCAGGGCCGACAACGATGGGCTCGTATACATCAGGTTCAATAATAGCAGGGCCGACAACGATGGGCTCGAAAACGTCTGGTTTAACTATAGCGGGGCCAACAGCAATGGGCTCGTATATGTCAGGGATGACGGGAGCCGGGCCAGCTGGTCCAGGGATGACGTGTCTTGCCGGGCCGGCGACGGCGACGGCTACGACGGTGGCAGCGAGCAGGAAGAATTTCATTTTTCCTGTGGAACATAGAAACTTATGCTTTAGTTATCGCTAGATTAGGATATTAATAATAATGAGACACGACATATGGTTTAAAAAATACTTAATTTGTTAGAACTAATGATTATTAACGTTTGACTCACTGAGCGTACTAAATTATGGTTATCGAAGAAATTACGTGAAGAAGCTATCCTTATGTTATAGACATTTAAGCTTAGTTCATTTTATTGAGTGCTTTGATAAGATTTGAGTAAAGTTATAATATATTTATGGTTACAAAATTGAGCAAATTTTCTAGTCCTTACCAGTTGTTTGCAAAGCTTTAAACCAGACTATACTTACAGAAAAAACTACTTAGCTTTTATAGTGAAAATTTATCTTCGATAAACAAATTATCAATGCATGCCTTAGTACCATCAAATTTTATGATGTGATACAATACGTAATTTTTTTTGTACTATAAATTTCAGACATACTATGTACATAACACTGAAACTTTTGTTTTAATTTTAACGCTCAAAGGTCTTTCTTGCAATTTTCTAACCGCCACATCATACAGTTTGTTGTAAGGCCTTGTAGCAGTAGTATGAGCAGGTTTAGAAGGGTAAGGGTGGGTGCTAGTGTAATTACAGGCACATGGGACTTGTGTCTCAGGGTGACTGGGTCAGTGTCGGTACCCTCAGATCTTCGCAATTTGAAGCTCTGAGTGGGTACTGCGTCATTTGGTTTAATAAAAAAAAAACACTGAAATCTTTTGTCGTAATAGGTAGTTTTAGTAGCAGGAGATTTAGTAGTTAGCTCCTCGTGAAAGAGGTCATTCACTCTAACCGCTCGACTCTCAGGATGCATTTTTCTTTATGTCTGATGTACTCCACTATCTCTTCAGATTTCGTGGACTAATGCAGTCGTGACAGGTGCAGCAGCGACGTCGGCATGGCCGAACGCAGCAGGAAGTTCGGTCCTGTCGCTGGTGTGCCACACTGATTACAGCTGTTGGGCTTACTCTTCCTCTCCACCTTTGTCTCATGGTGTCAGGCGCAGTGGCAGTGCCCCTCAGATCTTTGCGATTAAAAGCTCTGATTGGCACTGGCACTGTCATGGATAGGCGTATCGCTTACCACCAGGCGCCCGACTTCGTTTGATACAAAAAAAGGCATTTATGTAATTTACACGAGCTTCAACTCAAGTTGTGAAGGGCTTAACGTCAGCAAAAATGCCGAATGTAGTGTCACCAATCAGAAGAACGATGATATCTCAATTATTTTGTTTGCCAAACAAATAAATTCACTTTTCTTTGTAAAGAATTTGGCATCTAAAAATCTTGTATGGATTTCATTACTAATATAGTAATCGAAAATACACAACCTTAACCTAATTCTTGAAATAGATTAGACCGATGATTCCAGAAGTGGTCTACATCGACCCTCAGGGTGTGTTCCCATCACGATAGTCGTGTAGTTTAATTAAAGTATCGTAGCTTGCAATTTAAATGAAGTTGTTCACATGTACCTTGTATAGGACGATTATCTGTCGTTCACGACTTTCTTGACTTTACGGTTTTTCGCTGGCTCTAATTCTAGAAAACCTCAAAATACAAATCTCTTTTTAACCACCTTCAAAAAAGGAGGAGGTTAGTATTTTTTTTTTAGTATTACTCGGCATTTGTGAACTGATTTTGATGATTCTTTTGTTTTGTTGAAAAGAGGGTACCTCAGTATTGGTCTCATATAAATTTGAAGGAAATATTCCACCTCTAAGGGTGGGAAGCTAGGGGATGAATCCGGTTTCGTGCACTTTCTGGTAACCTTGGCAAAAGATGTAATTCCACAAACTTTTGAGATCTTTTTTTTCATTTGCACTCCCACATCTGTTCTAAGCTCTTTTGATTTGGTAATTTTAACGCTATCGTCAAAATGGTTAAGTTGTACCTTTACCCATAGATTCTCGTTCACATTTGCTCTATAAATTTCTTTATTCTTCGATAATCCAATCTGTTCAATAATATCCCTCATAGTTGTTATTAATTCCCATATTATTCGGAATTTCATCTCTTTGTTCGACGTATTAGAGAGATTAGAGATGTCATAACGTTTATCATAGAAGATACCTAAACGAAAATGTCATTAAGGGTTATCAAAATAAATTATTTGCTATCGTATCACGTCATAATTTAATTTATGATGGCAATCGATTCGGACGTGAAACTTAACAGAAGTCTTACAACTTTATTATTGATAAATTTTGATATATTTATAGCAGGCATTTAATTCAATGATAATCGTTAATAAACTAAAAAGTATACTAGTAAAACAATAAAACTTCTTAACAATAGTTTATTATTGCGGTATTGATTATTAACAATGTTTACGTTTCTTGAATATTTGAAAAGAACTTATTTTAAAAGATTACAATTGACCGTCGGATATTTTTTATAGGGGAATCGGCATTTGAACTTCTTTAAAGTGTTGACAACGCTTCGGCAGGTGCACTTTCTTTAGACTAATATTGATAATAAGTCAAAATTAACACGCTTTTCACTGAGGATACAGAAATATTCCGGGCCTTCCACGAATAAACTGATATATGAATTATATTGTATTAGGAAATTGAACTATTTTATTGGGATCTAAATTGCGTATATTTGTTTTTTCAACCAACGTTTCGGAACCTTTACAGGTCCCATTGTGGCTGACTGAGATGGTAAAGTCATTAACCATTGTCATTTAGAACTAAACAATTCTTATGATAGAGCCATTCGATCAGTATACTAAAATTAGTTATTTTCACATATGGCGGGTTCGATTCCCGGTTCGGACAGGCGATTGTTTAAAAACCTTTGAATGCGGTTGCTATTGTTTTTAATTTACAAATATAGTCTCCTTTTAGCAAAACTTTTTATTTACGTTATTTATGGTACTTTCGACTGACACGCCTAAATTTTAATGCGATATTTTTGGTATAATGGGTTCACATGTAGGTGGATACCTCCGATGAACCCAACGCCAAGTTTATTTTTTGGTCATTTTCTATTATTTTTGTAAATAGCCATATTTATTTCCTAATAGTATGCTCCCCGACTTTTGTGAAAAAAAATAAAGAAACAAAAAAGAAAATTCGATGAAAAACAAAAAGTTTTCATTCGAGATATCGATGCATAGGGCGCACTATAAGTTTTCGGAACTGGCCACTTACATAAACAATATTTAAAAAGTAATTACAACATTTCAAAACGGAACTCTTTGGCTGTAGAATACAGTTTGTTTTATCTGACTGTCACTTGTTTTTACATTGTGGCGTGTCTACATCACTGCTACTACACCACCGAAAATTTTCACGAGTTAAATCGTGAAAATTTTCGTAGTATGATTTTCAACCACTTTAAGTATAATTTAACAGCTCAGCGTAGCTTCACTCGGCTTCAAACTGCTTTTGGCGATGAAGCACCATGCAAAACGACTATTTATAGTTGGTTTGCAGAATTCAAACGCGGTCGTGAGAATCTCAGTGACGAATTTCGTGATGGTCGCCCGTCCTCAGTTGTGAACAACAAAAACATCGATGCTGTGCGCCGTATGATCAAAACAGACAGGCATGTGATATACCATGAGATTCGGGCATCTTTAGGTATAGGCATGAGTCAAATACAGTTAATACTACACAAACATTTGGGTGTGAAAAAGTTGTGCTTTCGGTGGATCCCACACAATTTGACTGAAGCTCAAAAAACGGATCGCGTCACTTGGTGCAATGCCATTCTTACCTGATTTAACGAAGGGGTGTCAAATTTGGTGTGGGACATAGTAACAGGTGACGAAACATTGATTTATAGTTACGATCCCAAAACAAAACAGCAATCGAGCGTATAAGACTTTCGAGATGAGCCGAAACCAACCAAAGTGGCGCGCGTGCAAAGTGCCTCTAAGCGAATGAATGCTTCTTTTTTTAATAAAACTGGACACGTGGCTACTGTTGCTTTACAGAATCATTGTACCGTGAATAGTGATTGGTACACAACCATTTGTTTGCCCGAAGTTATTGACAAACTCCGTAAAAATAACCGTAAACGCCGTCTTATCTTGCACCACGATAATTCCAATTCTCACACGGCCAGATAGACAAATGAATTTTTGAAGGTGAACAACGTTGACCTTTTGAGCCATCCCGCGTACAGTCCCAACCTGGCACCTTGTGACTTTTATTTGTTTCCAAAAATTAAGAACCAGTTACGCGGTCAACGATTTTCGTCACCTGAAGACGCTGTCGAAGAGTATGAAAAATATGTTTCAGAGAGTGTCACGGAGGAGTGGCACACATGTTTTCAAAATTGGTTCATTCGTATGAAAAAGTGCATTAACGCTAACGGAGAATATTTTGAGAAACAATAAATTCATTTCTGGCCATTTATAATATTTTTCTTATTCATTCCGGAAACTTATAGTGCGGCCCACGTATTATGTACATTTTGATGTACACGGGGCCTTAAGAGGTTATATATTTAGTTGAACCTTTTGACAGTGTCGAATGGTTATCGATTTATTATCGATGATAGACGAAGCTACATTTTGGCTAGAAGCAATCAAGATTCAGGATCAAAGACATTTTGACTGACGCCGTGAATGTCAAACTACAAGATACTCTTCATGGATTTCTAGCTTTGGTTGCCTGTCAAGACTACAGTTTAAAGTAGAAATTTGAGTTAAGCCTGTCTGTCGAGTAAATGAAGCATGGTGGTGTTCACAAAACTAATAACTCAGCCCAACATCTTTAAGCAAACTGTTTTGTGGAACGTGAAATATCATTACATCCCCGTTTTTCTTTAATAATTAAAAGATAACGTATAATAAATAGGTCGCTCTAAACGGTGATAACTCTGTACGGTAGGTACTAAAAGAAAGCATGCACCATCAAAATAATTTAATTTTATGAATGACAGCACGCGAGAGGTGTTGCAATGCAATTTAAAACAGAGCAGACCTACAAAGAACAGACCTAAAAAGTGTCAGATAGTACAATAAAA